GTGGGGTCACAAATATTTTCTGGTGGGTGTCGAGTACCTCACTTGGTGGCCCATGGCATGGCCATCGGTAGACCAATCGGCAGGGTCGATCGCCAAGGCCTTCCTGCAGGGTTACGTTCTCGGTAAAGGCGCCCCAGAACACTTGGTCACCGATCAGGGCAAAAAATGTTCCTCCCGCCTACTGAAAGAAGTGTGTGACTCACTGGGTACGAAACAAATTTGGACGTCCCCATACCACCCGCAAACCGACGAGCGCCTGCATAGGACGCTGATGTCTATGTTGTGCCAGCAGGTTAATTCAGCACAAACTGATTGGGACCTGTACGTTCCGGCGACCCTGGCCGCTTACAGGTTGGCCCCACACGCCTTGACGGGGTATTCGCCTTTCTACTTAATGCATGATCGGGAACCGGAGGCCCCAGCCCTGGTCAGGTTGGGCGTCCAAGCGAAGGGGAGGTCATCGGCAGTGCCTGCCCCCATGCAGGTGGCATTGGACCGTCTGAAGGAGGCTAGAGAGGCCTCACTGGGTAACACAGAGCAGAGGCAGGTTGCCAATGAATGCCTGCATGGTACTCAGCCTCCGCGGGAGCCATGGCGAGTGGGGGATAGGGCTTCGTTGCACTGCCCTATGGTGCCGGTGGGCACGTCGCCAAAATTCCATCGACCCTGGCAGGGTCCCGTTGAAATTGTGGAGACTCGTCGGGACCAGAGTGTACGAATTCGATGCGGCCGGCGGTTATGGCATGTTCACCCGTCGCGTCTTAAGAAATTTGTGTGATGCGTCATCTCCCATCCCGGAACGGCCTGTATTAGATGTGTCCGATGAACCTGTGGTGCGGCGGCATGGGAACGCACCTCAGCAGTCTACCCTCGTGTGTCTGCAGGACCATCGCTATTGACTCGGGAGAGGCTTTCTGGCAGGCTCTCTGGCCATGTGTCGGCTGGCCGGCCGCAACCTCGTGAGCCGCCCTGGGACGCATGGGAGCGGAATGTGGTCGCGCCAGCGGATGATCGCTATTACGAGGGCGGGCACGCATCGAGGGCAGAACGCTGCCCCGTGCCAACGAGGGGGTGCTTGCTACCCTTGTCCCCTGTCCACCCAGGCCAGGGTGATGAACTGTCAGCGGGAACCCGCTCTCGAGGAGGGACTTTTCGTTAAATTCCGTTGCGCCATGGTTGCAACGTTGTTGGGGGGGAATCTTTTAATTGTATGTGGGGTTTTGTCGTGTGCTTGCCGCGTGATACTTTGGTTGTGCTTAGCTGGGACGGCTAATTCTTTATCATGGGGGGGGGGGGGGTAATGAGTGGTTTAATACACGCCAACGTGCGTGTGGGGTACAGGGGCCAACGGGTGAGTCGGAGACGGCCGTTGGGCAATTAGGGATGCAGGGCTGTGATTGGCTAGTTGTTGTAGTTGGGTGTGAAGTGGCGCCTCCAAGTCTGGAAATGAAGACAGGTGGCAGCGGGGGCTGGGGGCGAGGGGCGTCGGGGGAGAAGCCAACTAATTAATTGGCAATTAATAGGGGCGGGGATAAATACAGGGGAGTTTTGGAGTTGAGGGGAGTTGGAGTGGAGTCGTGCCTGGGAGTCGCATACAAATGGTTAGAGCTGAAGACAAGGAGTAAAATAAAAAGTATAGAGTAGCAGTAGAGTAAAGGAAGAAGTATAGAGTAGCAGTGGAATAAAGGAAGAAGTATAGTGTAACGGCTAAAGTGAGACAGAGAAGCCGCGAGAGAGCGGCTGGAGTGAGACGGAGAGCCCACGAGAGAGCAGCTGGACTGTGTCGGAGGAGCGGAGAGGAGAGTCGGGAGAGACGGCAGAGTGGAGCGAGCGAGGCCGGCGGAGCGCGGCGAGCGAGCAGAGAACACGCCGGAGAATGATGCTGAGATGTGCTGTGTTCGTAGAAATAAAGTGACGACAGAAAAGCAAGAATTTGTCTGCGTAAAGTACAGCACTACATAGGTATAAATTATGTTCAAGTTAAGAAAATGTAATTTGTTCGTGAACAAAAATAAAATTTGGAGTAAAGAATTGACAGATCGATGCGCATGCTCAGTGATAACTTTCCTGCTCCCGTTCAGAAAATTCCACCCACTAAGTGGATAGCAGAGCCACGCCAATCAAAATATAACTTCACCCACTGTTGTAAAGGAATGCAACTACAGTACTGTAGAGGCGATCACGTGGATTTGGGATTAACCGGAGTACATATTGGGTTGGTTTAAGCACGTGACTTGTAATAAACATTTCCAAAACTAACAATGTATAACTAATTGTCTTTAGATTATGAATTTGGGCTTTAGGCAAAATCCATGAGTTATTAATTTGTCAAAATCTTAGGTTCACAGTTAATCCGCAAATGGGATCAACCGCAACGCAAATCATCAAGAGTTTACCGTATATATAGTTACTCATGTAATTGGCCATCGTATTATGAGTTCATAAAACTTACATTTAATGAAAAAGACAACTTTTTAGATTCATTGAATTTATTGAATAAAAAAGTGGCTCTATATATGTCATATTTTGTGTAAATTGATGATCATCTCCCAAAAGTTGAGATCAATTTTGTTGATTCAGCACTTTGATGCTGGTTGGATTTTTGCATCTTGACAAAGCAACATGACGTTAACTGGGAAAAAAACAAGTTTATTGAGATGAAGTACAACATACTCAAAAGGTTGCCCTTGTGACCTATTGACAGTGATAGCAAATACAGGAATGATTGGAAACTGTCTTCACTTCAAAATAACTGATAAATTCACATCAGACGGTGCCAGATCAATTCTGATAATAAAGACAATATCTCCACGATTGGATTCTGAAATGATTTCAGCCACAACAAAATTACAGTGCATTTCACAAATCAGCATTACAATGGTTCCTTATTTCAAAACCAATATAAGAGGTGGCATTTCAGATTGTGTTAGCGTGTGCATAAATTCTACTGGATAATAATTTGTGACGTCAGTCGGATACACATAACCTACCCAGCGTTACACACAGCGTACAGTGTCAGGCGTTAGGCAGAGATCACCAAAACTATATTTACGGGTTAAGACATCCGTAGCTATTTCAGTAGAAGTGAATATTGAGAAAGGAGGGGGGCCCACACAGTGCCGGATTATCCTAGTAGCGAAAGTAGCATATGCTACGGTCCCTGCACTTTCAAGGGTCCCGCGCTAAATGCTTTCAAGCTATCAATTCCGGTTCAGTGATTCTGCACTTGCTCTATTACTATAGTACTATACTGCCTTCAACTTTATGAACGACTGGGTGTTTAAGGTTAGCAATCTGTCGTATTATCTGGCTGTATAGCAACTGAAAAAATACAATTACTTTACTATGCAAGTTAAAAATTTGTGTTTTATTATTTGTGTTTTTTTAGGGCCCCTTCATAAAGTATGCTACAGGCACCAGACTAGCTTAATCCGGCACTGGGCCCACGGTCGTATTTTGCATACCTCCCCTGTTGAAATAGGTGGCTGCGCCCATGCTGCCCCTGTCTCTGCCCACGTACACTGTCCTAGTGCCTCCTTTCTTTGTCTCCATCCCCGAAGGCCCCTTCCAGTTTTGTGCTTTCTCTCTCTGCAATTGCTATCCTGTGACGGGATGATTATTTAATGCGGTCATGCTCTAACGGTGTTAACTTTACAATGTCCCGGGCTGACATTTTCCTCCCTTGGCCCCAACTCTGACCCTGAACTCTCCCCTCTTCTCCATCACCTGCTGCTGTCACTTCCCGTGCAATGTTTTTGGGTAATTTGTTCATCTTTCCTGTACTTTTCACAACATCTGTGAAAAAGACCTTCATAGTTCATTAGATTCCTGCAGTCCAAACATATTCTGATTATGTTCTGTGGTAAGAAGACCTTTATAGCTCATCGGGTTCCTCCAATATAAATATTAGAATAATGTTGCGCACCTTTGTGGCTTTGTTTTTAGCCTGCATTGGCCAGGTTTTCTCGTAATTTGAGCGACGTGGTTCAAATTTCACAATGTTTGTTCCATTTAGAGTCACGTGCCGGGTGGATTTCACGCGTTACAAATATTTCCGTTAAATTGAGCAGCAGCGGGCCCATCAAACGACCTCTCTGCTCTAGTTCAGGTTTGGGTGGCAGCAGTGGAGGGTCCTTGACTCGATATCGCTGCGTGATCCCTAATTCGCAGGTAACTTCACGGCATTGGGATATTCGGCCAATATCATTTGCACACAGAAAAGGCGCCCGAGTCGAGAATCGAACCCGGGAACTGTCACTGTCAGGCGGGTCACCACTGCGCTGCCTCTGAACAAAATATGCAAGCGGCTAAACCGCCAGCGCTCATTCACACAGCCCCATATTCACCATCATCAGCCACACGGCCTTCTATTAGGGCAGTGGTTCTTAACCTTTACTGCAGCCTTGCACCCCTTTGGTTATCAATCGTAAAATATAATGTTAATAAATACATAGCTTTGATGAAACAAAGCACAGTAGTTGTACTTACTTTCCCGTGCTTTCATTTGTGTTTGATGAATTATCTTCTAATAAAAAAAATCTGGCCATGTCTCGCACCCCCAGAAAGGGCATCTTGCACCCCCAGGGGGTGCGTGCACCCCAGGTTAAGAAGCAGAGCCATTGTGAGTGAGGATGTTGCTATCTGATCATCAGCACGGCCACTTGGCTCAGGCGAGCCGGCGGTGACTCATGAGCAGCAGGCTCAAGGCGGCCGAGCCTGAGCGGGCGGACACGTGGTGACGTCATCCCCCTCGAGCCCCCCCCCGCACGTCCATCCGCCCCCCCCCCCAGCAATCTCCTCCATCCGCTGTGCGCCCCCCGCGAGCCTCCTCCTCCCCCCCGTCCCCCCACCTCTCCTCTCAGCCGCCACCCAATCCAGAGCCGCCTCCTCCTGCTCCCTCCCTCCCTCCGCCCCCACCGCCTCCCATCCTCGACTCCTCCGCCGCCACCATCATCCCACCACTCCCCCCTCCACCCTCACCGCAGCCACACCCTCCCCACCCTCCCCACCCTCCTGCGGCTTTCGTTGGATGCGCGGCGTCTCCCCGCTCCTCCTCGTCCCCCTCCGCCCCGCGTCTCACTCCTCGCCTCGCCGGAGGAGCTCGTTGTGGTTGCGGCCCTGGATGAGCGTCTCCCGTCTCTTTCTCGTCGTCTGCTGCCCGACGCTTCCCACTCGCCATCTCTCCTCCTCGTCCACGGCCGCAGGACGAGGTGGTTGTGGTCGCGGTCTGGGTGAGTGTTTCCTTCCTCGCGAGATGCCGAGCGCGTCCCCTCGCCGCGGAGCTGGGGGGGTCGGGACCCCACCCCGAGCCGCGGACACGGAACGGGGACGAGGCGGGGGGGGGACAAGAGGGTGGCCCGGAGCTGGGCCCCCCCGGGGTGGTGAGCGAGGAGGGGTTTGTCGGTCCGTGTGCGTGCCCACTGCCTGTGTGTGTGTGTCTCCGTGTCCCCAGCGCGTGTGCTGGTGGTGGCACAGCTGCTGTTGTGTAGCATGATGATGATGATGCTGCTGCCTACGCCCAGAATCGTAAAGCAGTGAGGATGGTTGATGATTCATCGCTCACCGATTCACAATAGTCACTCGCTCACATGTCGTCAATCAGTCGCCTCCTTATTGCTCTTCTCTCGCAACGACCATGGTTACTTTTGCCGTGAACATCACTCGTTGATTCCTCCACCAATGTTGAGGACTCTGTCTCCAATTCTAACTGTTTCGTCTCGTCCGTACTGTTCAGCCACCACCACTGCAGGTCACGAAAAAACTCACTCGCCCATCCATCCATTCAATTACCCGCTCATCACACTGCAGGTCACACCACAAATCTTTCTACTTCATCCCTCGCACTCCTGCACTTGGGAATTCCCTCCCATCGTATATTTTCCCAAACTAATAACCTTGCTCGATTCAATCAACGTATCAACTCTTATCTACGTTGATGACCGCTTGCTTGGACTGGCTGTGTGTGCGTGCACCGTAGAGGATAATGTTGGTGCAGTAGTTTGTGCAATTCTCCAGTTTCCCCTGGCCACAGCGAACATCAGTGATGAATATACGAACTAGTTATTTGAGTACCTGGTGCCGTGTGTAAATATCGTGTGCCGTATGGACCCTTCATAGATTGTCGCTGACAGCAGTTGCCCCAATCGCTTGTGTAGACTACGTGGGGGATCTTTGCCTTCATTTTGTACCGTGTACTTGGTCCAGTTTGGTCCGTGTATTCACATTAGTCGGTTGTAATGTTTCCTTATTTACGGCTGGGTCAGACTGATGACAGACATACGTGCTTGCTTATGCACACTATATGTGTGTGTGCCACCCTTGCTGTTAGCTTTTCCAGCGAGTTGGTAACGTTGGCTGACTTGACATTGTAGAATGGACTCTGAACCTTGTAGCCTTCATCTGTCGTAAATGCACGGCAGTGCACTGCTTAAACCTGACTAGAACAGCGCGTAGTATAACTACTGACGCACTAAACGTGGCTGTGAACATTTGAGAAGGAAAGACATCTCGGACATTTACCATCTTCAGCATTTCATGCAGTTTTGGGTGACCGAATGGTAGAGTGGTGATGATACTTCGTGGCTTACAGCACGAAGGCGCTGGATTTGATTACGAACTCGAACGCATTTTTGCGTGGCGTTTGTATGTTCTCTCCCTGTTGTTGTGCATGGGTTTCCTCCGGCTTCTCCAGTTCCCTCTCTTAGCTAAAAACATGCAGTGTCACGAGTGTTGAACCAAGCATCCCAATGCTGAACATGTATCTGTACCCCCCCCCCCCCCCCGGCAGGGCATTCCTGGTTTAACAAGCGGCATTATATTATTAATCAAATGTAATTTTCGGTAAATACTTAGATTATTTTTTTGCAGCATGCCGGACATCCCTTGTAACAGGAAGGGACCCTGCCCCCAATTACTGTAGTCAGCCTCTCAGAGGTTTCACCACCATGTGCGTGAATCGGCCCATTCATTCACACAGTGGTGTGAATAGGAATACCACGCGATATGTTAATTACCTCCCCTGGTATAGAGGAGGTAGTGGGTTCAATCCCAACCCTGACTCCTGAGTTTGCATGGCTCTCCTGTGTGGTCGTGTGGATTTTTCTCCAGGTCCTCCGGTTTTTCCCGCCACATTTATAAATGTGCGTTTAGAGTATGTGGCTGCTTTACATTTCCACGATGATAAGCTACTTCGTTGAGCTATCATTTGTGACCAGGTCGCTTCTGAAAACGAGCTAAATAGCTCAGTGGGCCTTACCTGGTAAAATAATAAAGTGTTTAGTTTAGTTGAATCAAGATGTATGCAACGTTAGGTGCCTGTGCATTATTGCTGCACGATACTGCCATGCTCACCATGGGGAAACAATGACAGGATGCTTGGATTATACCTCAAGGATGACAATGACGTTTCACTGATTATAAGCATGGGGACAAAAACACGTTTTAATTTCTGACTGAATGTTCTAGGGTTGGGAGGCACACACACCACTGTAAACACAGCAGTTTGTGTGTACCTAGGATAGCTATTGAAATCAGTCGCTAAAATGAAAAGTACAGTACCTGAAATGTGCCTGTGAATAAATTGTAAATGTGTTTGCGTACGAGGTGCTCTGACATACGGAAGTAAAAAGGTCTAATATAAAGATGTTAGAACAGCAACTGAAGTGGGCAAAGAAGCAGGTAGAGATGCATAATAAGGTTTTTTTCGGTTAGATTGTGGAAATACAAATGTGTTGTTAGCCTGCCACCACAGCCAATTCGTAAGGTTTCTCACGTAAACAAAACGTGCCAATTAGTTACTAGTTCAGTACACCAATGTGTTAGAGAGTATATCCACAATTTTCAATTTGAGTACGGCATTTATAATATTGGTCGTGAAAGCCTACGTGTCAATAAACTGAGGTAGAGATACATGCCGAGATAAAAAATTTGAGAGACAAAGTGGAAAGCGTGGATTGGAGAACACCCAAAGGTTAATGACATCGGTGAATTAGTGAAGTAATGTAAGTGGGCTTGGGCAGAAAACGCCACAGCTTGAACGGATGATGGCCTAAATTTGATAATGAAAGTAACCTTTACAGTACCAATGTGCCTTATGAAGACGGTTGTTAACATGGGCTACTTGATTGCCATTGCCTCTGCGGATACACTTAACTGTAATACGTAGTATTTGGGCTGCTATAGGAACTGTTGCTAAAATTAGTGTTCATTGCATTCAGGTTATTTGAATGGTGGTGTCGTTTGTTTTGCTATGGAGACAGATGGTACAGTACTTTACAATGAAACTGGGAACACTTGTGTTGCCAGGTGCTTGTGGCAGTCCGTAATCCAGCATTGTATAAGGCAGCGAGGGTTGGTGGATCGCACAAATGTTGTGAACTCCCTTCCCGTGAGCGTCGAGGTGCCGTACCATGGCTTGCCCGGAGGTGGCACAGCAACTGTGGACTAATCTCTTATCTGGCTCCATCTGTATGGGACATTGTTGTCCCCATCACACGTGTGCTGTTCTCTGGCTGCTCCGGTTTCCTCCCACACGGATGAACACTCATCATTCATAGAATGAAAAGATATTCATTTTATGCACACCGCTGTGTGTCGCGGGATTGTGCGGCGGTGTGCGATGCAGTCTGCATGAATGACGCTGCCATGTAAAACACTTATTATTATTATTGTTTCTACTCTTCGCATTATAGTATGAAATATCGAAACTGGGATTTGGTCCAGCTGCTCCTAAACCCTGTACAGTTATGCTCCACGTTAGTGATCTGCCTTAGCGATATGTGTTCGTGATTGGTGTTCCGTGGCGAGATGTTATCTTCCTCGCCTGGTATGTAGGAGTTTGCGGGTTCGATCTCGACCCTGCTGACTATACATTTGGAGTCTGCATGTTTCTCTCCCCATGGTCGCATGGATTTTTCTCTGGGTGCTCCGGTTGTTCCCTGCACGTTTTAGAAATGTGCGTTTTCAGTATTTGGCTGTTTTAAATTTCCACACTGAGAAGCTGTTTCGTTGAGCTATGATTTTGGTCAGGTCGCCTCTGAAAAAGAGCTACATAGATAGCTCAGTAAGCATTACCTGGTAAAAGAAAAAGTTTAGTTTTAGTATAATGATCCGCGTTCGTGATGTGGATACTACCTGGGATGAAGAGGGGGTGGAGAAAGTGCATCGGGATGTGTTTGTAGGCAGCTAAGACATTCATGGGAGGGTAAATTATGCATTTTTACTGGTCAAAGTTGTTATTATCATGGAGAGTTTTACAGGTTATTTCCTGAAATACAGGATTGTGAACTTGGCTACTGTGCAGTAGATCTGAGATGGGGTAAATTGGGGTAGTAAGTTCACGATGTGACGTGACGCCAAGGAGGCGGATTTCTGCAGAGACTGAATCAAGGAGTCTGCATGTCTCTCCCACCCGTGGTCACGTGGATTTTTTTCCACCAGGCCCTCTGGTTTTTCCCTCCACATTTAGAAACATGCATTAAGATTATTTGAATTATTTTGCAGTGATACGTTTACACGTGATAAGCCACTTTTTTGAGCCATAATTTGTGGTCAAGTTGCTTCTGAAAAATAAGTTAATACCTCAGTGGGCTTTGCCTGGTAAGATGAGGATGGTTTAGTTTCATTGGTATGTTTGTAGGCGATTTGTTTGCCTTTGTTGTACTTTGCACTCCTATCATCTTTTTTATTGTTTGTTGGAACGTTCTTACCCGCCCCTACAGGACATCCGTGAAAAAGAGCTGCATAGCTCATCGGATTCCTCCAGTATAAAAAAATATTCTGAAGGATGAACCAGCATAATTCCAGTACTGGAGGGTGGTGTGTGGTTTTATTCGCATCTAAATATAACTGTCTTGTTATAGTCCACATTTCATTAATTTAAAACTGATGCAGTCAGCTGCCCTGAAATTGCATGTATGAACTAACAATGCACATGAGAAAAGGGACTGGGCAAGGAGATGCTCCCTCATGAGGCTTCTCTCATCAACATTAGAAGACATTTGCATTTCATTGAATTCGAAAAAGGCAAAAACACAATTAGAGAAAACGTGAACCCTGTTAGATTCGCTGTGGCGACCATCATTATGGCAGCCAATGGAAATGAGCAGAAGGAAATAACTGAAGAACTTAAACACAGAGGGCTACAGAGTGGGGCTACAGATGCACACGGTGAAGGCAAAACAAAAGTGCAGCTCACGAAATGAAAGAAAATAATGGTTGTACTCTTTGGTTC